AGTGCCTGGCCCAATAACTCACTTTCAATAATGGATACAACACCCAGACAGATGATCAAGAAGGAAACAGAGGGCTTGAACAATACTATAGACAAATTGGACCTACCAGACATACACAGATGACTTCACCCAGCAGCATTCTTCAACGTACATGTGGAATGTTCTCTGGGAAAGATCATATATTAGGCCTCAAAGCAACATTTAATACATTTTAAATGACTGAAATCATAATAGCAGAAGGAAAACCAGAATATCCACAAATCTATGGGAACTAAACAACATACTACAAAACTATGGATCAAAGAAAAAACAAAACCAAGCACCGCAGGTTATCACTCGTAGGCAGGTGAACAATTGGAACACGTGGACACAGGGTGGGGAGCATCACACACTGCGGTCAGTGGCGGGGAGGGGGGGCGGCTAGGGGAGGGACAACGGGGAGGAATAATGAGGGGAGAAGTATCAGATATAGGTGACAGGGGGATGAAGGCAGCAAACCACCTTGCCATGTATGTACCTGTGCAACAATCCTGCATGATCTGCACATGTATCCCAGAACCTAAAGTACAATTTTAAAAAAGGAAAAAAAAAGTATTTTGAAACAAAATCACATATCAAATCTTACGGGATGCAGCAAAAGCAGTGCTATGAGGGAAATTTATAGCTGTACACGCTTACATTAAAGAAAGCTGGCCAGGGGCGGTGGCTCACATCTGTAATCCCAGGACTTTGGGAGGCTCAGGCAGGCAGATAACCTGATGTCAGGAGTTCAAGACCAGCCCAGCTAACATGGTGAAACCCCATCTCTACTAAAAACATAAAAATTAGCCAGGCGTGGTGGCAAGTGCCTGTAATCCAGCTGCTTGGGAGGCAGAGGCAGGATAATCACTGGAACCCATGAGGAGGTTGTAGTGAGCCCAGATTGCACCACTACACTCCAGCCTGGGTGACACAGCTAGACTCCATTTTCCCCAATACCCACACACACACAAAAAGCAGCAGCAGCCAGGCATAATGACACTGTTCTATAATCCCAGCTACTTGGAAGGCTGAGGCCAAGAGATTGCTTGAGCCCAGGAGTTTGAGACTAGCTCAGGCAATGCAGCAAGACCCTCTCTCAAAAGAAAAAGGAAAAATTCTCAAACTAAAACCCTAACTTTGTACCTTAAATTATTAGAAAAAGAACAGCCTAAACCCAAAGCAAGGAGAAGGAAGGAAATAAATGTTAGAACAGAAATACGTGAAATAGAAGATAGAAAAACAGACCTATCACTATCAAGGAAATTGAATCAGTGACCAAAAACTTGACAAGAAAGAAAACTACAAGAACACATGGCTTCATGGGTGACTTGTACCAAACATTTACAGAATCAATACCAATCCTGCTCATATTCTTTCAAAATACTGAGGAAAGAATACCTCCAAATTCATTCTGTGAGGCTAGCATTACTGATACCAAAGGCAGACAAAGAACCAGAAAAAAACAACAGACCACTATTCCTCATCAATACAGATGCAAAAGTTCTCTAGAAAATACCAATAAGGAGAATTTAACAGTGTCATAGAAGGATTCTACAACATCGTCAAGTGAGATTTATTCCTGGAATGCAAAGGTGGTTATCATATAAAAATCAATGTTAAGATATCACTAACAGAATGAAGGAAAGAAAACACATGACTATTTGTTTCAATTAGTACAGAAAAAGCATTTAACAAAGTTTAATACCCTTTCATGATTAAAAACATACTGACTAGAAATAGAAATAATCTCAATGTAATAAAGGTCATATGAACAACCCCACCCCCCAGCTAACATCATTCTCAATGATGAAAGAGAAAGTTTTCCAAGATGAGGAATAAAACAATGATGCCTGCTTTCATAATACTGGAAATCCTAGCCAGAGCTAAGAAAGAAAGGAAAAAGAAAAGGCATCCAAATTGGAAAGGAAGAAATAAAATTATCTCTGTTAACAAATGACATAATCTTCTTTGTAGAAAATCCTGAAGACTGCATGAAAAAAACTAAGAACTAGTAACCTGTCAACGTTTCAGGATTATGAAATCAACATACATATGTCAGTTGCATTTCCACACACTAACAGTCAATGATCCAAGAAGGAAACAGAAAACAGTTCCTGCAGGGCTTGGTTGTGGATGCTACTTGGGAGGCTGAGGCAGGAGAATCGCTTGAGCCTGGGAGGTCAATGCTGTCAGTTTTTATAAAGATTATGCCTGGCAACATAGTGAGACACCATCTTAAAAAAAAAAAAAAAAAAAAAAAAAAAAAAAGAAAAAAGTCTGTTTAAAATAGCATCAAGAAGAATAAAATAGGAATAAACTTAACCAGGAGGCAAAGACTTTGGCAGGATTTAGAGTTCCAGAGACCAGTTGTGTAACAAATGTAAAGGCATCTCATATTTATACATTATAAAGCTTAGTTTGATTAACATGTCAATACAACTCAAAGTGATCTACAGGTTTAGTGTAATCAATCCCAAAATCTCAGTAACATTTTTTCTTCAATCATAGAAAAATCCATCCTTATAAATTTCACAAAGTTTATACACAATTTCAAGGGATCCCAAATGGCCAAAGCAATCTTGAAAACGAATAACAAAGCTGGAAGTCTTTTACTTCCCAATTTCAAAATGTATTATTAAAAGCTACAGTGGTCAAAAAGTGTGGTATGGCAGTAAAGACATACAGAGAGACCAGTGGAATGGAGTACAGAGGGCAGAAGGAACCCCTTATACATATGGTCAAATGAATTCAAAAAGGATGCCAAGCCTATTCAATCAGGGAAGGGACGATCTTTCAACAAATGGTATGGGAAAACTAGATATCCACAAAAGAATGAAGTTAAACCCTTACCTTATATCACATTAAAAAAAAAAAAACCTCAACAATGAATCAAAGACCTAACTGTAAACTCTAAAACTATACAACTCTTATTTGTTTGAGATGGAGTCTCACTCTGTCACCCAGCCTGGAGTGCAGTAGCATTATCTCGGCTTACTGCAACCTCCAGCTCCTGGGTTCAAGCAATTCTCTGCCTCAGCCTGCCAAGTAGATGGGATTACAGCACCCACCACCATGCCCAGCTAATTCTTGTATTTTTAGTAGAGATGGGGTTTTACCATCTTGGTCAGGTTGGTCTTGAACTCCTTACCTTGTGATTTACCTGCTTTGGGCTCCCAAAGTGCTGGGATTATAGGTGTGAGCCACCATTCCCAGCTGACAACTCTTAAAACATAGAAGGAGAGCTTCCTTTGGCAATGATTTATTGGATATGACACCAAAAGCCCAAACAACAAAAGGAAAAGTAGACAAATTGGATCGCATCAAAGGATATATTAACATTGTGAAAAGGCAACCTACAGAATGACAGGACAGATGTGCAAATTCTATGTTAAAGAGTTCCCATCTAGAATATATAAAGCACTCTCACAATGCAACGACAAAAACCCAACTAATGCAGTTCAAAAATGTACAAAGGACTTGAATAGACAGTCCTCCTAATAAGAGATGCAAATGGCCAATAAGCACATAAAAAGATGATCACCATCACTAATTATTAGGGAAACTCAATCAAAATCATGTGGAGAGGCCGGGCATGGTGGCTTATGCCTGTAATCCCAGCACTCTGAAAGGCTGAGGTGGGTGGATCACTTGAGGTCAGGAGTTTGAGACCAGCCTGGCCAACATGGCGACACTATATCTCTACGAAAAATAGAAAAATTAGCTGTGTGTGGTGGCACGTGCCTCCAGTCCCAGATGTTTGGGAGGCTGAGGCAGGAGAATTGTTTGAACCTGGGAGGCAGAGGTTGCAGTGAGCCAAGATCACACCACTGCATTCTAGCCTGGGTGAGGGCGAGATTCCATCTCAAAAAAAGAAAAAGAAGAAAACCTACAAGGAGACGCCACCTCAGACTCATTAGAATGGCTGTAATCAAATACAGAAAATAACGAGTGTTAGCGAGCATGCTGAGTGCTTGGAACCCTTGTGTACTCTAACTGGGAGTTTAAAATGGAGCTGCAACTGTGGAAAACGGTATGTTAATTCATCAAAAAGTTAAAAATAGGCCAGGCATGGTGGCTCACACTTATAATCCCAGCACTTTGAGAGGAAGGGGCGGGCCAATTACTTGAGGCCAGGAATTCAAGACCAGCCTGGCCAACATGCTAAAACCCCTTCTCTACTAAAAATACAAAAATTAGCTGGGCATGGCGGTGCAGGCCTGTAATTCCAGCTACTCAGGAGGCTGAGGGATAAGAATCACTTGAACCCAGGAGGCAGAGGTTGCAGTGAGCCAAGATTGAACCACTGCACTCCAGCCCGGGTGACAGAGCAAGACTCTGTCTCAAAACAAAGTATTACCGTATAATCCAGGATTTCCACTTCTGAGTATGTACCTCTACAATTGAAAGGGTCTCACACATTTATACACTAATATTCATAGCAGCATTGTTGAGAGCAAATTCTGACGTGTGTGAGAAATCATATTGTTTGCTGAGAAATCCTCTTGAGAGCAGTGGCAAGGGAAACCTAGTCAGCCCCTCAAAGCGGAAAACTGCCCCCAAAGGAGAAAACTGCTCAAAGCACTATAAAATAGTAACCAATGTAAATATGTCTCACGCCAGATGAATTAGTTCTTTGAACACAGATTATGTGACCCTTTCCTTTGTTCCCTCGTAAAGAGCACTTTCTAGTTTGTCTTTAACCTATAGTAAACACACACTAGCTGCCTGGTTAGTTTACCTTTAACCAGTGAAAGAACATAGAGCATCTGCTTGTAAAACTTATCACTGGAAAGTCAAGAATAAATATGTAGGTCAGAGTCCGCTCTGAACTCTCAGCTAGAAATGCTGTGAGACCCCTGGTGCTCCACTCTGAACCCATTTTTGCGCGCGCACGCTCCCTCCCTCCCTCCCTCCCTCCCTCCCTCCCTCCCTCCCTCCCTCCCTCCCTCCCTCCCTCCCTCCCTCCCTCCCTCTCTCTCTCTCTCTCTCTCTCTCTCTCTCTCTCTCTCTCTCGCTGTGGCTGTTTCTTAATTCCTTCAATGCCACCTGGGTTGGGGTCTCCATGGCTGAGCTGGTCTTGGCACAGCGTTGTTCACGGCAGCTGAAAGATAGCAGCAACACAAATGTCTACTGACAGATAAATATGTGGTCTCTCCATACAGTCAAACGTTATTCAGCCTTAAAAAGGAAGGAAATTCTGACACATGCTAGCACATGGATGAACCTTGAGGATGTTATGCAAAGTGAAATAAGCCAGTCACAAAAAGAAAATTACTGTATGATTTCACTTATGTGTAGGACCTAGAGTAATCAGATTCACAGAGACAGAAAGTAGAGTGGTGGTGGCCAGGAGCTGGGAGAGCCAGTAACGGCTTATTTAATGGGGACGGAGTTTTAGTTTGGCAGGATTTAGTGAGTACCAGAGTTTGGCTGCACAAAAATACGAATGTACTTCCACTAAATTGTGTACTTTAAAATGGTTATGGAAAATTTCATATGTGTTTACCACATTTACATTTTTTTTACATTGAAAATGTATATTTATTGAGCACCTCTGTGCTAGGTATGATGATATGATTATGAACACCGTAGTTATAAAAAACACTCTTAGGGAGATAAAATTCTAAGTGTAAAAACTAGCATAGATAGGCAATAATAGACACAGACCCACAGGACTCAGACAGTAGGCTTATTAGACACAGATTATAGATTTCAGCAGGGAACTAGAAATTATTAAAATTACTAATTACTAAATTTGTTTAGTAATTAATTTAGCCAATCAGCTAATTTACTAATTACTGAAAATTACATATCTGAAAAAGAACCAGAATGTAGTAGAAAGAGATGGCAGAAAAGGACACCTAAAGCCTGGCTTTTAGACAGTCCTCTTGGCAGATGAGGGATAGAAGGGCACTTCCTGGCCAGGTGTGGTGGCTCATGCCTGTAGTCGCAGCTACTCAGGAGGCTGAGACAGGGGAATCACTTGAACCCAGGAGGCAGAGGTTGCAGTGAGCAGATACTGCACCACTGCACTCCAACCTGGGCCACAGAGCAAGACTCCATCTCAAAAAAACAAATAGAAGGGTGCAGCGGCTCACGCCTGTAGTCCCAGCACTTTGGGAGGCCACGGTGGGTGAACCACTTGAGGTCAAGAGTTTGAGACTAGCTTGGCCATACCCTGGCTAAAAATACAAAATTTTTGTCTCTACTAAAAATACAAAAATTAGCTGGGCATGGTGGCAGGCATCTGTAACCTCAGCTACTCGGGAGGCTGAGGCAGGAGAATTGCTTGATCCCGGGAGGCAGAGGTTGCAGTGAACCACTGCACTCCAGCCTGGGTGACAGAGTGAGATTCCATCTCAAAAAAATTAAATAAAGCCTATCTTTTAAACAGTTCCCCTAGCAGATGAGGGATAGAAGAGTGCTTCCTTACCCTGGTAGCTCTGAGTGTCCAGTCTGTGCCCTTGACCACCGCACTTGATGGGGACACAGTAGAGGAGCCTGCACTGCATGCTGTACTGAAGATCCCACCCACACAGTGAGAGTTCCCTCTAGCCTGCACTTTGGGTTGGATGCATCCTGAGCTCTCAAAGCATCGCATGCTAAGGTTCCACCCTGCCCTTGGCTGGGAACTGTGCCTTGGTCTTCTGTCTCCAGGGTGCTGGGGGCAGAGCCTGACATGGAGTGAGCACTCCATAGATGCTTGTTCAATTTCCTGGGAACTCAGCAGGCTAGGCCTAACATCACTGCCTGGCAGGTGTAGGGACTCATCAACCCGTGCCTGCTGCTTTTACAGAAAGGGGAGAGGGAGACAGGAGGGAGTGAATGGAGAGTTGTCCTTTTAATAAGGAGGGCCAGGGACTGTAATAGGGGCCCCAGCATAATTTATCTCAGGAAACAGCAGAGGCCCCTCTCCTCTGGCACCCATAGCCTGGCCTTACTTCTCTTCCCTCTTCTTTACAGTTTGAAATTTTGTCTAAGCCAGCAATAGGCTGCCAAAGACTTCAAACTCTTTCACCTTCTACTATAATTCCAGCTCCTTACGCGGGCAAGATTCTTGACTGGGACAGAATAACCAGCATGGAATGCTGGGAAACTCAGAACCACACATGCTGCAAATGCAGGGAAGAAGTGCGGCTTGCCACTGCGCTCAAAATACTTCTGAGGACATGAAACTCTACCACTGGTCTGAGTAATTCTCCACCCTTCCTCCATACCTCCACTGTAAACCAGGATACAGCATGGCCAGTGAGTCCCAGCCCTGCAGAGAGAGCTCTACCCGGCTCCTGTTCATGCCCAAGGTATTTATTCACTTATTCAACAGCCATGTGGGAAGCCACCGCTTCAGAACGCTGACTGCGCAGAGGAGGACACGAAGCCAGGTTCTCAGCTGCCTGGAACTGGCTTTCCCTGCCTGATCCAGGGGTCTCCTGAGGCAGGAAGTTCTTTGAAGGGGACTGATAGCCCTTCAGAAGCCTAAGTAGAGAGCTGCTCTCTTGGGGGTAGATATACAGGGACTGATGCTTTGGAGGGCCTCTGTTTTTGTGGGGGCAACTGTGAACTCAGGGCCCCAGGCTACAGCATTCAAAGTTTTTTACTTTCTTTTTAAACATAACTTTCTCCTTTGAATTTTCAACTGAAACATAAAGCTGGCAGAATCCAAGAACGTGCCTCTGGATTGCTGAGGCTGATCATCCACTCAGGAGATGGGGAGACATGGACAGTTACAGAATCTTCTCACCAATAGGGGGTGCCCTCGAGCCCTTTTTAGGCTGAGCCTTTGGCAGGAGATTGCAGGGTCCAGATTCCAGAGCAAAGGGCCAGGTGTCAGCCATGGGGACTGAGGCAACCTGAAAGCCAGACGCCAGACTCAGCTGTCCCTCCTGGCCTCCCCACCCATGAATCCCTGGTGCACAGCAGGTGCTAGATGAAGTTTAGAAGAAAGAACCCCAGGGTAAATGGGAACAAGAAGGCTCTACATTCCCACACTGGAGGGAAGAGAAGACAGAGCAGCTGGGATTTGAGTGTTTGCTACGGTTACAGCCTAAAGACCCCGGAGCCCAGGCACTGCTCCAAGTGCCTTGAAAGATGCTTGATCTTAAGCCTTACAATAGTCCAATGAGGAATGGATGATCTCTTTAATGAGGGAGGAAAAAAAGGCTCAGAGAGTTCAGGGGATTCCCCCAAGGTCATATAAAACTATGAACAGCCAGGATGGTGTTGATGCAGGCCTGTCTGCCTCCCAAGGCTGCCCAAGCTCAATCACCCCCAACCACTTCTGCTTTTGCAATAATAGCCTTATGCCACATATTCTACCAGTTGCTTTATGAAAGAAAGTCAAGTAAACTTTAGCCATATCCCAAGCCGTAATAGGTAGCTCTTATTCAAAATACCCTGTAAGTCAGGTCACGCAAGATCAGAAATGCACCCACAACAGTTACAGCTGCTGTGCTAGCCACTGTTTTGGGAAACTCAGCCTAGGAATATGAGTGAAGAGACAACTCACAAAGAAAAGCAAATCACTGGCACACAGGGAGCCCTGAGCAATTCAGAGTCAGATGCAACTAGAGTGTGTGGCCACCTGACCTGCTGATTTCCCAGTATGCTTAATGGATCCATGATGTCGGGTCCACAAAGGAAGCCTTCCCTTCCTGCCTCCCACGCTCTGTGGCTCAAGTATTTACCAAAAACACAGCAGTGCACTGGATACCAGCAGAGATACAAAGAGAGAAAAACAGTTCTCCCTTCTCAAGGCAGGTTGGACAACATCAATATTTGCAGTTGTGGGGCACGGGTGGAGTATGTGTGCCTGCCCAGAATTTACAGACGAACAGATGGGAGAGGGAATGATTCTAGCTGAAAGACCAATAATTCACACCTACAAGGTACACTGAACTGCAGCCTAGACAACACAGCAAGGCTCTGTCTCTACAAAAAATTTAAAAATTAGCCAGGTGTGGTGGCATGTGCCTATAGTGTCAGCTACCCAGGAGGCTGAGGCGGGAGGATCACTTGAGCCCAGAAGTTTAAAATTACAGTAAACTGTGATCACATCACTGCACTCCAGCCTGGGCATTAGAACAAGGCCCTATCTCTAAAACAAAACAAGGTAAGATGTTTACTTAAAAATCAATGTATGAAAATTCAAAATATATTAGCTAATAAACCCCACTGGGGCTTCAAAAAAAGTTACCTAAACCAAGTGAAACTTGTACACTGTGAAAAGGATGACTCAAAATTAGAACTTTTGATTTCATTTATATTAATATGTTGAAAATCATAATCATCATAGATGTTGAAATGGCATTTGACAAAATTTACTACAAAATTTATAAAAGAAACTTATCAAATTAGAAGGAGGGGTACCTCCTTAAATTACACACAATAAAGGAAATTACACCCAGACACATACCCATCAAGCCAAAGCCCAGCATCATTTGTAAGGGATGGAAGCAACAGAAGCTTCCATCAACCTTTGGAACAAAAGAATGTCCTCTGTTACCACTATTATTTTGGAGCCCCTAGCTGATGAAACTAGACAAGGAGGAAAGTAAGACATTAAAGAAAAAAAGCAGAAGATGAAATAGTTATATTTACTCTGAAAAATGAGGCAGACAGATTTTGCTAAGGAGTTGGGTACAAAAGTAACATACTAAACAGCCTTCTTTTTCTTAATTTTTAAACTGTACAGATGGGGCCGGCCATAGCTCATGCCTGTAATCCCAGCACTTTGGGATACCAAGGCAGGTGGATTGCTTGAGGCCAGGAGTTCAATACCAGCCTGGAAAACATGGCAAAACCCTGACTCTACTAATAATACAAAATTAGCCAGGTGTGGTGACATACACCTCTCATACCAGGTACATGGGAGGCTGAGGCATGAGAACTGCTTGAACCTGGGAGGTGGAGGTTGCAGTGAGCCAGAACTACACTACTGCACTCCAGCCTGGGTGACAGAGCAAGACCCTGTCTCAAAAAAAAAAAAAGAGAGATGGGGTCTCACTATGCTGCCCAGGCTAGTCTCATACTCCTGGGCTCAAGCAATCCTTATGCCTCAGTCTCCCAACGTGCTAGGATTACAGGCCTAAGCCACCAAGCCTGGCCTCAGTCTTCCTATGTACAAACAAGCAGTTAGAAATGAGAAGAAAATATCCCATTTGCAACATCACACCCCAAAAAAACAAAGCTCTCAGAAATAAATGTGCTAAAATATGCACACACAATCCATATGAAGAAATCTTTCAATGAAACACTTTGAATGCAAAGAAAGCCATGCTGTACTTGGTATCGAGAAAGGTACAACATTAAAAAATATATCACAGCCAGATGTGGTGGCTTACACCTGTAATCCCAGAACTTTGGAAGGCCGAGGTGGGCGGATCACAAGTTCAGGAGTTTGAGACCAGCCTGAGCAGCATGGCGAAACCCTGTCTCTGCTAAAAATACAAAAAAATTAGCCAGCCATGATGGCCTGCATCTGTAGTCTCAGTTGCTCGAGAGGCTGAGGCAGGAGAATCACTTGAACCCAGCAGGCACAGGTTGCAGTGAGCCGAGATTGCACCACTGCACTCCAGCCTGGGTGACAGAGTGAGACTCCATCTCAAAAAGCAAACAAAGATATCACTATCAATATTAAGTGGGGGTGTGTGGAAGTAGAGCCTTCATACATGCTGGGGGAACATAAGACAGCATGGCCACTCCAAAAGACAGTTTGGCAGTTTCTTAAAAGGTAAATATAAATTTACCTTATGGAGCCGGATGCAGTGGCTCAGGTCACTGCTGAGATTATACTCAGCATTTTGGGAAGCCAAGGTGGGTAGATCACCTGAAGTCAGGAGTCCAAGACAAAGCTTCACCAACATGGTGAAACCCCGTCTCTACCAAAAATACAATAAAACTAGCCCAATGTGGTGGCAGTTGCCTGTATTCCCAGCTACATGGGAGGCTGAGGCAGGAGAATCACTTGCAACTGGAAGGCAGAGGTTGCAATGAGCTAAGATCATACCACTGCACTCCAGCCTGGGTGACAGAGGGAGACTCTGTCTCAAAAAGCAAAAAAATTAGTTAGGTGTGGTGGCACATGCCTGTAATCCTAGCTACTTGGGTGACTGAGGCAGAAGAATCACTTGAACTGGGAGGTGTAGGCTGCAGGGAATCAAGATCATGCCACTGTACTCCAGCTTAGGCAACTGAGTGAGACTGTCTCCAAAATAAATAAATAAAAATAAAGTGTCAACATCAGTGGCTCTTTGTATACTCACAGAACGGTGCATCCTTCACCACAATTGATTTTAGAACACTTTTTTTCCCCAACAAGGAACCCTGTTAACCTTAGTCATCACACCCCTCCCCCCAGTTCTTCCTCCTCCCTCCCCAGCACTAGGTGACCAGTAATCTGCTCCCTGTCTCTCTAGATTTTCCCTTTCTGGACATTTCATATCAATGGGATCATACAATATGTGGCCCTTTGTGACTGGCTGCTTGGACTTGGCATAAAGTAGGAGGCTCACCCACATATGGCCTGTGTCTGTGCTTCATTCCTTTTCACTGCCTTATTGCCCAAGTGATATCATAAGCACTGCAGGTGAACTGTGAAAAGTTAGAGTGTGTGTTGTAATCCCTAGAACAATTGCTAAAGAAAGCATATATGGCTAAAAACAAAGAGCAAAAAGATACAGCCGAAAAGCGACTAGAGATGAAAGGATATGTGAAAAATCACTCCATTCATCCAAAAGGTGGCAGGAAAGGAAGAACAAAAAACAAGAGAGGAATAGGCCAGGCACGCTGGCTTACTACTAAAAATACAAAAAAAAAAAAATTAAGGAGAAATAGGCCAGGTACACTGGCTCACTACTAGAAATACAAAAAAAAATTAGCCAGGCACGGTGGCACACACCTGTAATCCCAGCTACTCAGGAGGCCAAGGCAGGAGACTTGCTTCAATCCGGGAGGCAGAGGTTGCAGTGAGCCGAGATCATGCCACTGTGCTCCAGCCTGGGTGACAGAACACAAATGGCATACATTAGAAATTCCATTGAAAGTGAACTAAACACTCCAACTGAAAGTGAAATAGTGAGACTGAATTTTAAGAAACACAAACAAAAACATGACCCACCTATACAATGTGTAGAAGAGGCACCCTTGAAATACAAAAACACAGATAAGATGAAAACAACAGGATGAAAAAATATCTATGTGAACATTAATTATAAGAAAGCTCTATTAACATCAGATAAATAGAAAAGTAATATGTGGGCTTCCTACTTTTTTGATGGAACAATTGAAAACTGAGAATATGGGGTTGGTGTGGTGGCTCACGTCTATAATCCCAGCACTTTGCAAGGCCAAGGCGGGCAGATCACCTGAGGTCAGGAGTTCAAGACCAGCCTGGCCAACACGGTGAAACCCTGTCTCTACAAAAAATACAAAAATTAGCCAGGCACAATGGCAGGTGCCTTTAACCCCAGCTACTTGGGAGCCTGAGGTGGGAGAATGGCTTGAATCTGGGAGGCGCAGGTTGCAGTGAGCTGAGATCATGCCGTATACTCCAGCCTGGGTGACAGAGCAAGATGCCATCTCAAAAACAAACAAACAAAAAAAAAACACCAAGAATGATACTCTTTAAATTGCTGCATTTTGTGGTATGTGAATTACATGTCAATTTCTTAAAAGACTGGTTGGAGAAGGAAAACACTGCAAATGATATTTTGGTTTTTTAATTAAACAAGAGAGTTCTTCCTCTCTCCCCCCAAAAAAGTCCTCTTTCAGTTTCTGTGAACTTCCTCCTTCCCTCCCCTATCCATCCACCCAGAGGAACTTTTATCTGTTCCCACCCAAACAAATTAGAGGCCTCTGTTTGTCTTTTAATTTGAGGCCTGGTAGGTAAATTAGAAGTCCCAAGTCAAAAAAGAAGCATCCCAGAGCCCTGTTCCATCTGAGTCTCCCACACCCCATGACTCACTTTGCCCTGTAACACGCTTCCCTTCCAGTTTACCATCTGTAAGAAAGAATAAACTTATTTTTCTTATTTACCAATAATTTACATAAACCAAACATTGCAAACAAGGGTGTCCTTAGCAACCTAATCTCATTCTCTTCAGATACCAACTGCTCTCCAGTAAAGAGATAGTCCTTTTCCAGACAACATAAATTCACTTGGAAATCTCACTTAAAACAGAAAAGTTAAGGTCTTCAAAGGTTTGCCATGGGCAAAGCATTTGCAGGAATGCAGGGGGCTGAAGGTCAAAGGCAAGGAAAACAAGGCACATATTCTTTCATCCTGATTTCCTCTGTCCTTGTACACGCATGGTCAGTGATTAGTAAGGTCACCTGGCAGTGACAAAAATCTGCTTTTGAAGTTTTTTTTTTTGAGACAGAGTCTTGTTCTGTGTCCCAGACAGGAGTGCAGTGGCACGATCTCAGCTCACCGCAATCTTCATCTCATGGTTTCAAGAGATTCTCCTACCTCAGCCTCCTGAGTAGCTGGGATTACAGGCACCCATCACCATGCCTGGCTAATTTTTGTGTTTTTTAGTACAGGCGGGGTTTCACCATGTTGTCCAAACTAGTCTTAAATTATCACAGGAGAAACACCATGTGATCTGCCCACCTCGACCTCCCAAAGTGCTGAGATTACAGGCATGAGCAACCTCACCTGGCCAGTTCAGTTTTCTCTAACTGAAGTAACAAAACAGGTATAATCCAAAATCACAGATACATCAAAAATGTTTAAACAGTGTTGGAGGCCAGGTGCAGTGGCTAATGAGTGTAATCCCAACACCCTGGGAGGCAGGAGGATCACTTGAGAACAAAAGTTCAAGACCATCTTGGCCAACACAGTGAGACCTCATATCTATAAAACATTTTTTAATGATACTGGAAAATGCTAACTTGGGTAGTGATCATTTAAATGCGTCATTGCCCTGGCCTTCTGGGTTTTACTCTGAACCTTGTGACAGATGATTAAATCATGTGTCCAAGTTCAGGGACTTCCTGTTGTATAGAGATGATGCTCCCTGGAGCACCCCGCTCCAATCCCCCTCCCTTCAACTTGTCCCAGTGTATCATATTCAACCCAGACCAGGGAAAGCCCCACTCATGTCATCAGCCCTGCCAGGCCAACAGCATAGAAAAGATCCCTGCAAAGGGCAGGGTGACTCAGTTCACCTACATGGTGCCTGTCTTGCACTCTCTCCAGCTGCCTGTCTTGCACTCTCTCCAGACCTGGGCCAGTGTACAAACTACACAGCCAGGGCCCGGTGCTCAGAAGGGTCCCTAACGCTTGCTTGAATGCTCTGCTGCTTGAATCTTTTTTTTTTCTTTGAGACAGTCTCTCACTGTCACCCAGACTGGAGTGCAATGGCATGATCTCGGCTCACTGCAACCTCCACCTCCCAGGACCAAGCGACTCTCCTGCCTCAGCCTCCCCAGTAGCAGGGATTACAGGTGCCCACCACCCCACCCAGCTATTTTTAATTTTTTTATTTTTTAGTAGAGACAGGATTTTACCATGTTAGCCAGGCTGGTCTCGAGCTCCTGAACTCGTGATCCACCTGCATTGGCCTCCCAAAGTGCTGGGATTACAGGCATGAGCCACTGCGCCCAGCCCACTTGAACCTTAATTTTTGAAAATTATTTTCATTTTATGCTGATCCCTGCAAATTAAGTAGCTGTTCCTACTTCACAGTCACTTAATGAAGGTTCTTGGGTAGCTAGAATAGGCCGGGGTTTAAAGTAAGGGGCTGGCCAGCATAGAGCCCCTCCAACAGGGAGACCTTTCCCTCGCTCTAAAGTAACCCTCTCAGAGCCATTTCCTAATGGATCCTGAAACAGCCTGGTGACCTGCCCTCAACTGTTTTAATCATTGGCTGTCCCCATCTTCAAGAGCGGGTACATTTCACATAAGTCCATAATTAATACTAACAAAAGGGGCCATGCCCATGGGCTGGAGTCCTGTCATGGGCATTCTGTGTTCCAGGTCCTTGGGAGGCACAAGACCCAGATCTGTCCTTAGAGTATGACTATAGATCACTCTAGAGCAGCCTGTCCTGAGCAGGACAAAACCCAGCAACCCTTTTGGTCAATGCTGGAATGTCTCCCAGGCATGAGCAATGGTGGTGTTTGCAGGATGGTTGGCAGCGGGCCAGCTGTGCCTCAGTGGCTCTGGCAGTTCAAAGCCACAACCCAGACAACTTCCCCTGGGCTCCAACCAGCCTGGCTAACTGGGGACAGCCATTCCCAGCTGCACTCAGGCATCTGAAAGACCCTTCCTTTCCTGCGAAGCCTCTTGCAGAGTTTCAGGAAAGAAGAAGAAACAGTAAGGGGAAACCACAAAACCATGTATCTCTAATAGTATCACCTCTTGGTCCGTGGGGGAGGGGGAGGGTGCGTCCCATGTTGAATTTCATCCTGAAGCCACCCCGGTGGGGATAGAAACAATGCCATTTGCTCCATCTCACAAACAACATCGCATCAGCCCCCCGGGAGATGAAGCCAGGGACTGAGACTGGCTAGCAAAAGCCAGGACCAAGACTGACAGGACCTCTCTGACTTGGAAGCCTTAGGACAGGCTGTTGGTGTCTGCAGATCCTGGTCTAGTGTAGCCTGTGTGATCAGCCAGGGCTGAGGTTCCCTCTGCTGACAGAGCTTTCCCTCTTAAGAACACTAGTGGGGCCATAGCCCCATCATATCATCTATCCCTGGGAACACTCTTTTCCAGAGAACTCCAATGAGGAAGAGAAAGTGGGGACCACTGACTTCCGTGTCTCTGAAAATAGCTTTGTAAAAGTATGTAAGGACCCAACACTGTGCTTATAATCAGACAGTTCAGGACCCTCTGCTCTGAGAGCATCAACATGGGCCATATCTCCTTTTCCTGTTTGAGTCTCAAACTCTGCCTTTGCAACCTTGTTTCGAAGGCTAAGCTTCCAGCCAGAACAAGTGCCCACACTCTGCTCTCCCAACCCCATGCCCCTGCCATAGCCAGGAAGGCTGAGGACAGACAGGGTTTTTGCTCCCCTAGTCAGAGCTGACCATGACTGAAGGACCCTCAGAGACAGGCAGAGCCCTTTGTCCTTTTTTATCACTGTGCTGACCACCTTGGGAGCTGATTATGCTCCTTAAACCTTCTGGGAACACTTAAGGGCCCCAGCACTGCAAAAAGGATTAAGTCAACAGAGAGGAGACATGTTTTTCCAATTAGTTATAACCACCCATGTTGGAGTTTTTGCAAAACTGGCCGGTTGCTTTTTCATTACCCAAAATTCCTCATTATTTCTTTCCGCATAAATAATTTCACAAAGTTTTCAAGTAAATTTGGCACTAAAGGCCCGTGACCATGGAATAAACAGGACGCTCACAGTGAAATGCTAAAGCCAAAATCTTCTCTTCCATGTGCCATGCTATGAGAAAGGAGACGGAAAGTAACTTCCACCTACCAAACTTCCCTACCTCAGGCTTCTTAAGACACACATCAACTGTGCAACGATGTTTGTGTTGGGATATGCATTTTACTATATACGTGCATCTTTAAAAAGATTTTTCCCGGCCAGTTCTGGTAGCTCATGCCTGTAATCCCAGCACTTTGGGAGGCCGAGATGGGCAGATCATAAGGTCAAGAGATCAATACCATCCTGGCCAACATAGTGAAACCCCATCTCTACTATAAAATACAAAAATTAGCTGGGCATGGTGGCATGTGCCTATAGTCCCAGCTACTCAGGAAGCTGAGGCAGGAGAATTGCTTGAACCCGGGAGGCGGAGGTCACACTTAAGACAGAATAGGTCTCGCAATGGGCAGAGCAGCCCTGGAAGCAGGTGACTCATAATGGCAGGAATAAATATTTTAGCAAGTGCATCAACACACGGGAGGAATTTAACAAGACTGTTCTTTTTTTTTTTTGCGATGGAGTCTTGCTTTGTCACCCAGGCTGAAGGGCTGCCGTGGTTCAATCTCAGCTCACTGCAACCTCCACCTCCTAGGTTCAAACAATTCT